TCGAGGTCATATTAAATTACGCATATTTTATTCCATGCTTATTGACGAATAATGACTAAGTCTTTTTTCTCCAATGGTGTTCATAACAATAGTATGCTTCTTCAGGTTGAAAAGCAAAGCTTGCTTTTGCGTGAGATCGTAGGCGCTATATAGTGGGAAAGGAGAGATGTGCATTTTTAAAAAAATTTTTAACTGTCAATAATTTAGTTTATAAACGTGTACCGACACAACATAAAATTGATATCGACATTCGATAATCTTTTTAATAATATCATTTCAACCAAAAATTTATTTATAAGGAATGAATAATTTGAAACATATCATTAAAATAAATAATATCAAATCAAATGTCCAATGTTGAATTTATAACACGTGATAACATTCATTAGCTTCTTATATTTTTAATCTTACTTTGAAACGAAACCATATATAAAATAAAAAAAAAATTATTTGGGATTAAATCAATGATATGATACTACCTAGACTGACTATTCAGACAATTAAATGAATATCAATACAATCAGCTGATGTCACACCATTTTGGATTCCCATTTAAATAATTTACGTTAAAATTTTATGAAAACTATAAACTATACATGTGTCGATTTTGCAGTAAAATCCAACCACTCATTTTCTGCCATCGAAAAGACAGAAGTTTTTAAAAAACATGCTGGCCTCACCAATACAGTGTTCATACCAATCGTTACCAATGCCTTAGGCATGTTCGAAAGTGAGACCCTTAATTTCTTTAAAACTTGGGGAAAAAATGAGACAGATCACAGGCGATCCCAACGAAGGATTCTACCTCCTTCAGCAGATTTCTTTTGAAATCTGCCGATCCAATTTCTTAAGCATCCACTCTTCTCTAGGGTGATATGCACCGTTTTTTAAAGTTGCTTTTTTTAAGCTAAAAATTTATAAATATATATTTATTTATTTGTTTTTTAAATATATTTTTAATTTGATATTGTTCATATTTGTATTTAGTTTTTTAAATTGAAACCGCTCATTTTTTTTTAATATTTATAAAAATTATTATATGAAAAACCAAAATTTTGCCACCATTAGATTTGTACTCAGTGACGCTTCAAACTGCATTTTAATGCGTTAGTCTATAAACTTATATTTCACTGGACTAAATATAGAAAAATCTAGGTCGAGCTTTAATAACACTTCTATCTATCTTATATTTTTTCAAAAATTTTATTATATTTTCTATCCGCCATTTTTGAAGTATTTGGGATAAAACTTTTATGAAAAATTAAAATAAAAAACGAAGTTAAAAGTGTTATATAAGATAATGACACTTTTCCTTTTGATAACCATATTCCTTTTGCTCAACTCTCTTTTGTTATGTAAAGCTATTGATGTAGTGTCTTCCGACCAATAATAAATTTTAAATTTACTATCAAAGTTGGAGAATTCTTTAGAATATAAATAAATTAAATACACATAAACAGCCAAATCTATAACGATTAAAAAAATGAATCGAGTGACGGCTTTATATTAATTAAAATGGTAGCGGTTAGTCGATTTGATAACTATTATTGGCATAAATATATAGAAAAATAACTTTAAGAACTCTAGTTTTGAAAAAAATTTTGTTAACGAAACTATTAGGATAGATAAATAAATTCAACATGATCAAATATATACAATTATATTACTGCGATAAAATTATTGAACCAACCTTTGGATTCTATATTTAAAATGAGCTACCAACTGATATTTTATCGGATAAATGACGAGGAAGATGATTTATTAAATTTGAAATATTTTATTTTGGGAATTAATTTGGATAATTTATTCTTTTCCCTTCTATATTTTGTATATTATGTCTGACAACACTAAAGTTTTTTTTTTCAAGTCGATTGATTAACCATAGATTCAGATATAAGTTGGCATTTAATTTCTCTATTAACCTGTTCTCGTTAATTGTCTGTTTCTATAATTTGATTACGTATATTTAGCTTAATACCTAAAAAGTTGTCCATACCATTGGATTTAAGATTTTTTCAAACCAATTGTCACCTATTGATTTAAATGATCTTTCGTTTATTGTAACGATTATAAATAGTATCTCTAATCCAAAATCCACGAGTATCATATTAGAACACCACTATATTAACAGATTTACACCTTGTCTCGTCGCCCTCATTAAGCATGATGACAATTTTGACTCCATGAGATGGACACATCTAGAAATTATTATTTTGCTATAAGAACTATTTCTTAATAAAATATATTTAAAAACGAGTAATAAGTAAGTGCTATCTAATAAATCAAGATACTATATCAAAATCTTTCCAAAAAAATAAAGGAAAAATACCTTTCATTTTTTTTAAAAAATAGAAATTCCAATTTTGTTTTGAAAATAAAACTGTTATAAATTTTATATCAAGCATTTGGTAATAATATAAAGTGTTTTTTAATAATTTTACGAGCCTCATAAAATTTTCAAACAACTATATATTTTTTAAACATACATACACATAGTAATAATAATTTATGTTTAGAAAAAATTGTTTACAACAGAGTTGGCTAAAGCATATAGATACATAGATGCGGTATATTTTAACTATATCCATCTATTATTAGATACATTTTGTTATTTATTTTTCTACGACATTAATTTATTTAAATAATAATTTACAGTTTTTCCTAATCCCTATATTTATCTGTACTTGATAATAAAATTTCTCATTATTAAATATGTAATCCCTCTATTATCTATATGGGGTTGATAATACTCCAATTTAAACCAGTAACCTCATTCTATTCTTTCAACAAAAAAATATTAAATGTTGAATAATGTGTAGAATTTAAATTATTTGAAAATGAATTTTCGGTCTTTAATATAAGCTTAATTTTTTTCCCAGCGATTTTTAAAAAAAGTTTTAAATTTAATCATAGTACATATTAAAGGTCTGCAGTGGGTCAGTTTTTAACCCTTGCTCATGCCCATATATCTTAAATAGGCGGGCAAGCGAGCTGGCTAAAATAATTTTTAAATAATGAGCGATGCCCTCCCGTATAAATTGAAACCTGTTTAGTTTCCTTATTTGGCAATATAATTTTAATATACATCCATAATTATGAATCTGATATAAATGTCCTGGACAAAAAAATACCCGGACAAAAGTGCACTAAACGAAAAGATCTAGGACAAAAATATTTATGAACAAAAGGACATTAGACAAAAATACTTATTTAATTTTTTAAATATTTATGCCCAGGACATACATATCAGTGATTTTATAATACAATGTTTTATGATAATATTTTTGTCATCGTTTGTCATAGATATAAATGCACATTATAAATCTTTTTTAATAAAGTATATTGTTATCTAATAAATAAAAATTTCTTGGAAATTAAATTTCATAATATAGCAATATAATTTTATACATAATACCAAGCATCACTAATCTTAGGGGGCTCAAAAATTTGTTTTAAAATTACTTTCAAAAGACCTTTTAGCTGACATTTACAAAATAACCTTTTTTTTTAATATAAAAAAACATTTCAAAATTTTCAGATGGCTTGAGCTCCCCCTTTCCCAGTGACGCTACTACATAATACAATGTTTTTTATTTGTATTTGTGACAGATCAAGGAGCTAATATAAAAAAGAGGAAGGAAGGGTAAAATTTATAAAACTCATTTTAATTTTAGAGATATTCAAGCTTTGCTAAATAAAAAATATTCATAGGATATTTTCCCTTTATTTTAAAAATATAATATATTAGACAAAATTGTTCAGTTTCTATGCTGAACACAATTCTAAGTAATACATTTCAATCTTGGGAATACTCCCCAGATAAAATATTTTATCAACCGCCAAATCGTTTCGACGACATATTTAAAGTGGGAATATAAAATATCTAAGCAAGACCCTGGAAAAAAATATTGATATAAAATGGAATACAAAGCATGAAATGTTAGAAAACATTTTTTATATAATGCATGACGATATCCCTGTGATTTTAGTCTTGTGTTATGATGGGTCATTGTATTTTCTCAAATTATAAAATATTTTTGCAGGTGTATGTGTATCTGAATCATTTTTTTTAGTAGATATTTTAAAAAAATTGAAAGAAAAGGACGAGTTTGAGTTGATTTTTTTTAAATAATGAACGGGCTGGTAAAAAAATTTAAAACCAATGGGCGGGCGTTATATTTTTTTCAAAATCATGGGTGGGGGGGGGTTAGAATTCTTTACAACGAGTGAGTGGGCTTGTTGGCTAGACGCTCATTGCAGACCTCTATAATACATATATTTTTAAGGAAAGGCTCAAAAAAAATTTGCACAATTTGACATAAAGATAGAATTTATTTATTTTGTCGTTTTTTTACAAAAATCAATAGGATTATAATTATCCTGCCAGATCACTAATGCAAAATCTACCTTCATCCTCCAGATATGGATTGGCTCCTTCGAAATCTGTTTCCATTTTCTTTTCACCGCATTATATTTATTTTATACCTTTATTATTTTATTTTTTTAATCATTTTAAATATATTCAGCATACTTTAAATAAAAGTAATTATTGCTGAATTAATGTCATTCCTTCTTCGAAAAAATTTAATTTATTTTTTAAATTTTTATGTGATAATGAAAAATCGCGTTATATAAATATGTTTTAGGTGTCAAGGTGAATTTAAAAAAAAATACTCTCAGCTTATACCTTAAGTAGGGCTTATTATAAATTTAAAGCTATTTGTTAATTAAAGCATTGTAATGCCGTGCCGTTTGATATTTCTCAATCTTTGAAATGTATTCCCATTTAGTTGTTTATAATAAAATAAAAGATTATCAAAAATAAAGAACATTTATAAAAAAAATGTATTAAAAAGCAAATCATTTCATTTAACAATGACACGATACCCTAAATCTTATGTCAATTTTCTTTTCATCTTTAAAAAAATCAAATAGAATTTTTTTTTTAAATAGCTGGACCTTCATACCAATTTATATATTATTATATTTTATTTAAATAGAATTCAATCTATGGTTATATAATTATCAACAAATTGTGACTTAATCGATATTTGGGATATAAATTGAACTAATGCTCAATTCAAGGGAACAACAATGATTATTTAATCCGCGAAATATCATTTCAAATCAAAATATAAATCAAACATAAAAAAATGTCATCTACGATATATATATGTCCTAAGCTTTTACCGCAAAAGTTAAGATTGTATCTTCATAATTTGGCAAAAAAACACAATAGGAGAAGAGCTGGGAGCTCATCGTTTTATTCTTGCCGTTGTTTATTATGTTTCGCCTTTTTATGGATCATAGCTTTATGGATTTTTCTGTCCTTTAACGAGGACACATCCGCAAAAAATGTAACATCTTTTCCAAACAGAAATTCGCAAGATCTTATAAAAATATCCCCCCTTCAACCGTTTGATATTCATAGAATCGGTCAAAAAATAGTCAATTTACCAAAAAAGTTTTACCAAAATTTCGCAGAAGTTGTGGATAATTGGGCAGGGCATCCGGATGAAGCTGGTGTTGGTGTACTGCCACCTCCAGATCAAGACGAGACAATGGATCCTAAAGGATATGGTTATTAAATTTCCTTTTAAAAAATAAATATATTATTTTGTTAGAATAAGTCTAAGTTTATGTAGAAACAATTTATTTAAATATTAGCCTTTGAAAACACTTAAATCCCCCATAGAAAAGTTTAGGTGGAGGTCCTTTACATACAAAAGTGATCCCTGATTTAATATTAAACAATATTGAAAGAAATATTATTTTACCCAATAAAATATTTGAATTGTAAACAATCTAATATATTAATACTCTATGTCTATAAGAATTTACAATCCCAAATGGTATTATTGAAATTCAATTATATAATAAGTTAACTATTCGAATGGGATATTTTTATTTAGCATACTCATAATTTTTTTTTGAATTTATTGGACACGTTAGCGTTAATGTGTTTTTTTAGTACGTGTTATTTTAACTTTATCATTTTTTGAGTGCATGGTTTTTTTAAATTTAAAAAAATCTGGTTTTATCGAAAATATAATCCAATGTGTTTAAAATACTTACCCTATTCTGACAATTTTGTCTATGGAATAACGATATAAATTATATTAAGTTTAAAAGGTTCATGGAAAAATTTACTATAAATCAAAGAGATTTTTTATACACGCGGGAGGAGATACATTTCCTGCAAAATTGTATTTTTAAAATTAAAAATATACGCTCAAAAAATGATTGATTTCAAGTTAAAAAATTACATATTGGCGCTAACATTTAATGATTTAAAAAAATGAAACAATATCAGTTTCTATCTTATCGAAAATCCATTTATACACTATTAATTAGTGGCCAGAGATAAAAATCACTAACTGGTTTTAAAAATTTAATGGTTTTTTTGATTGTGTCCTATATTAATCTTTTAGGCGAGGCTTTGGGAAAATCTAGCACGAAATTGCCATATATCTAGACATGTGCGCCGACAGCATTATCGGCGGCGGCGTCAAATATTTTTCTAACTTAAATTTTTTAATTAAAATTATAAATTCATGATAACACTTTTTAAAATAAAATTTATGCTTTATTATGTTTATAACTAATGATTTTATCAAGTTAAAATTATTATGTATAAATATTATTTTATTTAAAATTTATAATAATGATCTTTTAGAGTTCAGAATAAGCCCAGCTATGAAAAATACACGCTCGCTGGGTGTGCTCGTAGCTGGAACGCACAGGACCTTTCTAGCCAATATTAAAAGTTTAGGAAGATCCAATGCTCTTCCGAAAATCTAAGACATCTTTTATCCCTTAAATTATAAAGCGAAAATAATGAATAAAACTCTTTTTCTAAACTAAATAGCCTTGTTGTTCCAGATTATTGTTAATAGATGAATGTTTCGTAGCCAATGACTTAAGATAATCGAATTGAAGCAACTTCCGTCGTTTCACATTCGATTAATTTGTCCGTGTAAGGCAATAGAGAGGTAGCGTGTTGACATAAAAATTGCACCGGAGTAATATTTTTTTTCTTTAAATATTCATTTACTATGTTTATAGATTGAAAACGAGGTCCAAAAGTGTTCCTTATACCTAAGTAAAAAAAATAAAACAAAGAGAAATAATATAAAAAGAACTAATTTATGTATTTTAAAATACTACCTGAAGATCGGTTATTGGAAATCCATGATCAAATTTAGTAAGCATATTTTGTTTAAGGGATGCTTTGGGAGGGAGGACTATCATATTCTTTTACCATTAAATAATTTGTAATTTCACTACGAAATAATAAGGATAAATTTATAGTAACTCCTTTTCGGAAAAAAATTCAACAGTTTTTTTCAAGGTTTTAAGAAAATTTAAAAGTTCATGCACAAAGTCCCAATCGGAGTTAAATAATTTGAGATCCAGTTTCTCCATTCTATTTAATAGAATATTTATAGGATTTTTGTAATTACCAGTCACACTTTTCAACATTATTAATATGCCAACGTGTAGGCACATTTAATTTTAAGGTTTTATGTTTTTTCCCATATGATTTCTGATTTGCACTATCATCATCAAACCCCAAACTATCTTCATAAAAAGAATCATTATCATCCAAATCTAAAATATCCGATGTAAATGATATCTATTCAAAACATTTCCTATTTTCGATAACGTTTATATTTTCAAAATCCGTGGTTTTGAATCTTAAGGCAACTATAATTTCTCTCACCTTTTTAATGAAATTTTCTATTTTTATTATCTTTTTTTATTCCATCGACTGTCACTAGATTATGTAATCCATGCCCCAAACATAAATGATGGTCATATTCTTCTAGACGAACACTTTTCTTTACATTGGGTCCTGCATCCATAACCATTTGAATTTTCTTGGACCCTAAATCAAATTCATTTTCAACATTTTCTATCTCTGAAAGAATATTTTCAGCGGTATGTTTTTGAGTGACATGATGTGGCGCTAAGGTATAAAATACAATATTAAAATTATTATCTATTTCGTGAAATGTAAAGGTAATATAATTTCGATAGCACAAAATTTAGGACCTATATTAATTTGTTGAGATATGTATGCTATGCTTTCATTGATAAATACACATCATCTAATCCACTCCGGCTAAATATTGTTCTATCTGGTAAATCTTTTATATCTGAAATAATGCCATATTTCTACATAATAAAAAGTTAATAATAAAAACATTATGCCTTAAAAAAATACTAATTATGGGATGAGATCAGTTTTATTTAAATATTCTTTATAAAATAATTAATTCTATTATAAAATAGTTAAATATTTTAACAGTTAAAATAAAAATTAAGATTGCCCTACAAAAAATTATGATGATTTTATATATAACCTTTAGAAAATTTTGCATTCCGGTATTTATAGAAGAGAATGACATTAAATCTGTGCAACACATGAAAACATAATTCCTTGCCAGACATTTTTTATCTTTTATAGGGTCAGTTGTATCTTTTACAATGGGTTTGAAAAATAACTTTAAGTTTTGTTTAGATATTTCTTCTTTGCATGATAAGTCATGTTTGTCAAGTAAATGTTTTATTATGTTTGATGTGCTGATATTTTTTGAAAAGATTTGATTAGATAACTAATTAAAAAATTCACAAATTTTTTAAAAATAATCATAAAATATACTCTGAATCCTCGCCATCTTTATCAAGTGCTATTTGCAAGCATATATTACAAGAGACTTTATCTGTAGCAACACTGGTTCTCTTATTATTTGTGTCAGTTTTTAATATTAAGGATCCAAAATGTTTCCATGCAAAAGAAGGTTTTGCTTGCAAGAATACACTGTATTTTGTTACAGGGTATTGCAATGCTGCATCCATTATAATTGTTTTAGTCCTGCTATTTTATATATGTTATAATGGCAATAAAATAAAAATTATTAATTAAAATTTCCTTTTATTATAAAAAATATTTTAAACATCAAAAATTAAAAGAATAAAATATATAATAATATTTCAATATCTTTTCTTTTTTACTATCCTAATCTTGTCTAGCACGTTGGTTACAGACCTGCCAAAAGTGAGTTAACATGTATTATATGGATTGTTACAAATCAAATTTATAGCAAATAATATTAATTAATTTTAAAAAATAAAATCGTATTTTTTAATAATTCAAAAAATATTTAATATTTTCTTTCTTCTAATTACAATTCATAAATAATATATAAAATAAATATTATTTTTAATAATAGAAATCTACCTAGGTTGATTTTGCGAATCACTACTATCAATTCTACTGTCTTTCGTATAATTTGTTGATGGTTTAAAAGTTTTCCCAGATATAATAATAAATCATGGACCGGGCCGTATTTATTTTTTTAAATATCAAACTGGGCTGTATATTTTTAATTGCTATTATTAGCTATTAATTGTGTTTGATAAAATAAACATTTTTAAATTTTTAGAGTTTATGAAAGGGATCTAAGTATTCTTAACATATCTTTAAGATGCTTATTTTTCGTTTCTTCTTTCCTTGCGGTATTTATTGTTATATGAATTTTACAAATTTTTATTAATTATAGTCATTTAATTCTAAATAGTTGCAAAAAATTCTAACTAACATGCCTGTCCTTCAGGAAATGCCAGACCCTCTAATTTTAATTTCAAAATTTTTTTTAAAAAATAATAAATAATATTCGAGAAATGTCTGTTTATTTCAATGAATAAAAATATCTAAAAATCAAATGGCCGGGAATATTTGATTCGATAAATATTATTATTTCATGAACAACTTAAGGTTTGGAACATTTAGATCTTCAAGTTTTTAAAAAATTTAACATTGTTTTATGAGTACCCTATAGATAGCCTAATTTTATCATCTTAATAATAAAGGTATCAATTTTTTTATTGAAGGAGATATTATGCAATTTAGTCAAATACTAACCAATTTTTTTTATCGAATAGGAACATTATTCCTCTTTTCCAAATATCGGTTATCAGTGGATATTATTAAATTTTCCGATCTGATAAAATGGCGTATATTTTAAAAATTTTATAGCAATGATATTTAATTTATAAAATATATTTATCAAGTTTATGTATAATTAATTTTATGAAGTGATAAATTAAAAATAACAAAGTAAATAATTAAAAATATGATTAAAATAATAAGAAAATGCATAATTTATTTTTATAAAGATTATGATTTTAAAACTAAATAAATAAAAGTCTTAAAAATTGTAACAATTTACATTGATCAATACCTAATATCTATAATGTCAAATAAAATCAGCAGGCACGACTATTATCTGAATCATCGACGTAGACATCGATAACTTAATTTTGGTGAAGAGTAACTACAGGAAATTTCAAGATCAGCTCCGTCATAATTGCTTAATTTAAATACCAATATCTTAATATACCAATAAATTTCAACTTCAATTTCTAATACCAACACCATTTCCATGCCATTACATTATTATGCAATTAGGTGTCAATGTTTTTTTTAAAAATATTTTACATGTTTTCAATATTTTTAAAATAAATAAAAGTTTTTATAAAAAAATATACATAGATATAAGCATGAGCGGCTTTTAGCCTACAAAGCTGCCCGTTCATTGTTTCAAATTATTTAGTCCACCTGTTTTTCTTAGAGTCTTTCCACTTCATTTCTTGTTTCCAAGGAATAACAAAATTTTTACGTTTTAGAAGATTATAGGGCGCAATAATTTTTTTTAAAATTGATATATTAATATTTAGAGAATATAATCTAACATTCCAAAAAGCCAGCCCGTGCATATTTAAAATATCAGGCATTGACTGACAATACTTGTACTTTAGACGCACCAGACGTGCATATTATATGGGGAAGGAAGGCTAATATTTTTATATTTGTAGGATTATTAAAGTGATTTAGTTGATAGAAACATTTTTTTAAAATAAATTATTTAATCAATGATTGGAAAAAGCTGTTAAAAATATTTATTAGATAACTAAAAATATGTAAATTAATTTATCATCTAATACTGAATTAAATAATATATGCATAAATTAGATACTAACATTAATATATATATAAAAAATTAATTTTTGACTAAAAATGCTCATTAAGGTCGTAACTACATTTTGGGAGCCAATCCACCCAAAAAATTGTCCATCCCCTTCCAACGAATTTTTGAGTTAATATATGTTTTATAGTCAAAACAATTGGTATCTCATTTTAAATTCTTTTCTATATATAGTATTTTATAATTATGTAATTTAACTTCTAATATTACGCAATTAGATTGACCTCAATAATATAATATTCAAATAGCCTTGAATATAACTTTTTAAAATATATAAGATATTAAAATATAACAATATGGTCATTCCAATTAAAAATATGATCTAATATTCATAAATTAGTCATTTACAACAATACTATTATATGAATATTCAATAATTTATTATATTAAACTAGTACTATTAGTCTCAAGGGTTCATATACAAATTTTTTTTTGCCTAATATAGACTAAATATTCAAAAAATTAAGAAAAAAATTCTTAGTTATTACAGCTACAAGCCTTGAAGTATATATATATATATATATATATATGAAACATTAATCAATACTCAACGATTTCTGATTCAAATTATTTAAGAAATTTTACTGTTCTTTTTCATGTACGATTTTTATTTTATAATAAAAATAGCCTTTTAGTCAATACAAAAAATCTGACATTTTGCTTTTATACGAGGCTTTATTTATATTTTATATTTTGAAATATGATTATTTTACGTGATACGTGAATTAAGCGTACTAGCCCTAAAATGTTATATATATATATCTGATATATATATATATAACAGAGCAACGCTTGGTTCTCTCATAAGAGCCCATTTAACTGGGATAAAAGAATGGGAAATAATTAAATAAATAAGAGGGCCATCCACGTTTTTGGGGCAGGCCGCAGTTACCTGTGCGCGGAAGCGGAAAAGCCCCTTACTTAAACGCCCATGGGAAAATAAAAAGAGAGGTAAAAAGCCCATGCCTGATTAAATAAAAAATTTGATTATGGGAGGGATATTTTGGCTATATTAATTTTACCATTAATTAGAATGTGAGCAAACCTAGAAATAAACATGATTAAATAAAATAAATACCAGTACAAATACAGTACTATCACTTTCTTCCAAAAATTTTTGCACCGGATGTTGAAAATATTCAGCTTAACCTATTAAGGTCACTCTGAAAAGATATTTTATTTTTTTTGTGAATTATTTTTAAAAAAATCACTACTCAACTCACATATTTTTGGTTATGGTGGTTATCGCTTTAACATAATAATATGGAAAAAATAGGCCCAAAACTTTGAATTAGACCACAATAGTATTAGCTCCGAGTGATTTTTAATTTTATTGATTAAAATATTTCAAATAAATGAATTTAATCGTTTAATAAACGCTATATTTTTTTGATATTTTGTATCAATATTTAGGCGATAACGGCGAAGCCGTTGTTTTTAAAAAATTAAATCCTGAACAGCAAAAAGAAATGGATGAAGGTTGGCAAAACAACGCTTTTAATCAATATGTTAGTGATCGCATATCTCTACACCGTAAATTGCCTGAAGTCAGAGATAAAGAGTAAGTGTAACTAATACAATTTTATAAAATTATATGATTGATGATATTTTTTTAAAGCCTATTAACATGCATGAGGTGGTATTTAATAAAAAAAATTTGTTTTAATTGAACCATATTACATATATCGTTCGTTGTAAAGTTTGTTTTACTTTTGAAGTTGTCTTTGTTTATTATAGCGATTGAATAAGGTAATAATGACATGAAAAATCCATAGTGTGACCATCTCAAACGCCTTTTCTTTTGGTCAATGTCATTTTAATAAATTGATAGGAATTTGGCAGAGATTGTATATCTACAGTAATAATGTGATTTACTTTAAAGTATTTCCATATCTATTTAACAATTTTCTTATACAAAAATTGTATTTGCTGTAATTATTCTAAAAATATATTGAAAATTTAAAAAAAGAATTACGGCAAGTAAAACAATTTTATAAGATGTTACAAAATTGTTATTTATATAACAAATCAATTACTAATGTTATTATTTCTATATATGTTTATTATGCATGACACTGCATATTTACTCATATGTCAGTGGGGTAGCCAGAATCTAAGCCCTAATTCTAAAATATGTCAATTGTTTTGTGCTTTATTAGTATTTACTTTAACCAGTATAATAGCAAGCATAAAGGAAAAAATTATTGGTAACATGATTTTGACTGACTTTAAGATTAAAAAGTGCTATGTAAATTTTATCAATGTTTAGAGCTTAGTTGTATGATAATTTAATCCGCTTGATAGACATTATAAAGAAAAAGGAAAATTGGCAAGATAGATATCGTGCTAAAATAGAAAATATAAAAAACCACATATCTGGCATGCGTTAGTATTTAATGCCTGACTAGTACTTTCAATTCCTCATTTAAATACGAGAACCTCAAAGAGAAATAGTTTTAAACAAAATAAAAACTATGACGTCATGTTTTAAGCGTAAAGTTAGTCAAGCTTTTGGAAACACTAATTCTGAAACTTATATTAAACCATTAAGTAGAGCTTTATTAGTTTATTTTATTGCTTTATTCGGTCTAATAATTGGTTTAAAGAGATATTGATAAAATTTTCAAAATTAACATTATGCCAGAACCCATGATATAGAAGTTCTAACTATATAGTTAGCGTTAATATTTAGTGCCCTATTAATTCTTTAATCAATTTCCCCAGCCACTAAAATATAACAGAATTATAAAATCAAAAACTAATTGTGGTTTTAAGCATATAGTTAACCAAACATCTGGACGCATTTTCTCGGAAATTTATGTCAATAATTAGTGTTTACTTCATACTTCTTAACTTTAACTCGTTTGTTGAATAGTTTAAAGAAAAATATTTTTCGCAAATAAAATAAATCGCCAAGATTGGCATCATGCAGAAGCTGAACATATGTAATGCATTTTTAGTACTCACTAGTTCATCGATCAGTTTTTTCAGCCAATAAATAGAAACTAATAATAAAAATTACCGCACGTCAGGTTAAATCTTAAATATCTAATTTTAAATTACGATTAAAGATCAATTTTCCCTGAATACATTAAGGTTTCTCTTTCCCCGATTCAAGATTTTTTGAATCTTATGATTCTATGATATTTATAGATGTTATTTTTTCTTTTCAGTTTGTTTAAAAGTAATTTAAATTCATTAAACAAGATAGAATGAAGATTCTAGAAACACAAAATCAATTAAAAAATTAAATAAACGATATATCTATAAATAAGTTTTACTCTTATTATTATTATAAAAAATCCTATCATCTTTTAAAATATGAGACTTGTTGTTGTTGTAGCTTTGATGCTTTTATATTTAATAGCAGCTTAAAAATGTAGTTAAATTGACTTGTCGCATATCACTGCTTAACATTTGTTGTAATAGGAAATTTATTAAAAAATATATAAATAATCAAATATTGTAGATCAAAATTATTATTTATAAATTAAAAACATAAAAATAGTTTTTTTTTAATATTTTAGGCATTTATATTATCAATTTGGTAAATTTAAAAAAAAATTGAGGAGTGTTTGAACCTCTACTTCCCTCCCCCGTGCCTATAGCACTGTTTTATGTGGTAGCGTATAGCCCTTGCTAAACTTATACGATATATACAATAAATAATATCATTTTTGTTCTTAAAGCTACTTTTGCTTAATACATTAAATAGGTAATATAATTAATATCATCTGTTGAAAAAAATAAGGCAATCATAATGTAACAATTAGATTTGAATGATCCTAACCAGTTACATTTCAAGAAAGGTTCTACTATTTTTGAAAAATAACTTTTATAATACTAATATTTAAGCAGAAATTAAACTTTTTATAATTAATTTAAGTAATACAGTTCAGTTTAAATTGAAAATTTTCATTCAATTAGGAATTAATAAAATTAATTTCTTAAATATTTTAATAAACTTATATGTATCGAAAATTTAGATGCTTGGCGATAAAATATGATTATAATCTTCCAACGACAAGTATTGTTATGTGCTTTCACAACGAAGCCTTTTCGGTCTTATTAAGAGGCGTTCATTCAATTATAGATCGAACACCATCGCATTTGCTCAAGGAAATTATTTTAGTCGATGATTTTTCTGATATGGGTGGGTACTACATATAAAATTTAATTTATCACTCATTATATAGAGACCTACAAGCTAGATCCAATTTACTGGGTATAGTCCCGGCCTTAGAATATTACAATAATTTATTTTTGTAACCAGGGCCTGGCTGTTAAAAGAATGATAACACTTTAAAAACTTGGAATATTTCTGAAAATCACTTTGCTATAAATTTGAATAGTATGGGTACTTCTTGCAGGTCTTTGCATTAAATTTTAAGTTCATTATTTGAAATTAAAAAAAAATATTTTTGAATTATAATTTAATCCATTAAATTTGATAGAAATGGTATAAATTATTTTATTTAGTATAAATTCCAAATAATTGCCACTTTTTAGTCTTTTTATAATATACTTGTGCTTAAATTAGGTCAAATATTTCAAACACTAATTTATTCTCAACCTTTTAATCTTTTAAATTACTGTTGGTTTGGCTTCAGTTTATTAATATTAGAATCCATTATATTTTATAGGAATCACATAACTGTTAATGTAATCTCTTTTGTTAATTAAAAATTTCTTATCTTAAATATTTTATTAATATAAATTTTTCAGTATAAACACCAAAATGTTTCTGCACACTATTGTTACACATTTAAAATCTTTCATTTCCTAAGAAAGATACAATTGAAAGAAATGGTATAAACATTTTTTTTAGTATCGCTTAAGCTATAGTAATAAATTATTTAATTTTTTTAAACACTCTTATATTATTATATATGTAAAAGTATATTTTTTTAATAATATTATTACCGCTAGAGGAAATATCTCACTTTTTTTAAAAAACAACAAATTAATTTTTTTTTCAAGTGATTAACAGAAAAAATTATATTTTCATTAACATTAATTGCCTATAGACTGAATTACAATAAATTATTTTATTTTGTCCATAGCAATAAAGTATTTTATTTTGTCGCTGCAAATTCAATATTTTTTTTAAGATTTACAAAACACTATTATCCGATTATTTAGGTATAAAAGGAAGAATAATTTTTTTTAAAAAATGCAAAACATTATTTCTGACAAAATAAACCAAAAAATAATTTTTTTTAAAAAAATAAGACCAAAATTGAGCAAATTAAAAGTCACCTTTTAAACAAATCAATTTGAATTTTTTGGTTTCCTAGACATAACTGATAAACCCCATTGTAATCAAATAGCTGTAAGTTATCAGTTTGATCAACAAATCACACGATTTTTTTATGGCCCATGTGTCGTCTCTAACTACCTCCGAGTTACTACTCCAATTAAAAATAAAAATTTTATTGTGAATATTATTTAATAAACCATATAGATAGCGATGAGTTTTATACAAATCTTTTTTTGTAACATTACATCCATATTATGTTATTTATGGGATTTTAGATCACGTGAAAGGAAAATTGGATAAATATATTGCTAAATTGGGTAAAGTTCGCGTTGTAAGGACTAAAAGGCGTGAAGGCTTGATCAGGGCACGATTAATCGGTGCTGCTAATGCCACAGGGGATGTTATTACTTTTTTGGATTCTCACATTGAATGCGCTAATGGTTAGTATGTAAAGCTTCTATGTCGTTATAATAAATAAATAAATATTTTTTTTAAAGGGTGGGCCGAGCCTTTATTACAGCGTATAAAAGAAGATGAAAGTCGCGTGGTGTGCCCTGTGATAGATGTCATCGATGATTCTACATTTAAATTTCATTATTCGGGAGCCATAGGTACTAATTTGGGTGGATTTGATTGGAATCTGCAATTCAATTGGCACGCTATTCCCGAAAGAGAGAAAAAAAGGAGGAAGTCCGCTGTCGATCCCCTTTTGTAAGTTGATATTTTGCATTATATATTTTTTTGCCGTATTGCCGTGCGTTTATAATTAGCACGAATTCGCGTCGAAGTATACAAAAATGGATGTAAAATTTATATATTTTGTATACTTCACCGCCAATTCACGTTAACTGTGAATGCAGGGTTACTATTATTATTATCACAAACGGATACCATTTTTTAGGCAATACCACCTATACATGACACATAATTTAAAATAAATCATTAGTTAATTTTATTTAAGTAAATTCATGAAAGAAATTATATTTTATTTTTAGTTTACACATTTCAAACTTAGGTACGAATCCCGTTTGTTCTAAGATATTTTTCCCAAATTTAATTCTTATATTTTATTATTATAATAATTGTTATATGAAATTCAAAATAGGTAATTTCTTTTTAATCAAAAATAATTTTCAACATTATTTAGCAAGGAGATTTTTTTCATATTCCTTTATATTTCACGGATTCATAAAGGCCTCAGGTGGATAACTTATAAAGAAATATTTTTTATTTTTATATGATAAAGTAAAAGAAAACGATTAATTTAAATAATCGGAATTTTTTTTTAAATATAATTTGGTATCAGGTATTAAAATTATCGGCGATACAGATAGTGTTGGTCCTATACTGTTATATCTCTGATTATTATATATATAATTACATTTTTTACGATAAAATTACTAGAAGGGACCGGGGATTTTTAACCTCATATCTATTATACTATTTTATCTGAATATTTCTCAAAATATAATTATACTACATATCTTAGATATGTTAATATATTCGATTAATTAATCCAATTAAAAAAAACAAACGTTTTTAATACCCTATTGAACGAAAATCCCTTTCTGCATTCTTTTGTTAACAAAGAATTTACGCATTCAAATTTATAATATTTTATATCAATAGAATCATTGTACCTTATGGTATCTCAAAAAAATCAACTAAATTTAGCACTATATAAAAACTATTTAATAATAATAAATAGGAAGGTAATAACTGGCTAAGGTTTAAGTGACTATAACCATAATGTAAAATTTTACTAATAAGATTATAAATTACTTTATTTCTTTTAATATGAAATAAAAATATTTGTAAAATTATAAGTTTTTAATATTTATAGGTAGTAAACATATTTTTTATAAGCCAGAATCTTAACTGAAATAAATATATATTGGGCTCAAATAAGAATAACATTTCAGGGTTGGTTTAATATAGTTCATATTAGTAATAATAAATTGTTTGAATAAAATAGGATGACCAATTAACACTGAGTATATGTCAAAAAAATGACTAATGATGTAACTAAAAAGAAACTACAAGAAATATAACCTGGATTTTAATTTTTTTTTATAGATTCATGTTTGGGCTACAAATTAATATTAAATTTATTTGGTTAAGGGAATTTTAAATTTTTTATCTGTCTTGTTGAGCAAAAACTTATCCCCGGCCTTCCCTAATTGGGAAAAATATAAACCTTAATTATAACATTGTTATTTGCTTAATTATAGTTCCCCCACGATGGCTGGTGGGTTATTTTCTATCCACAGAGGCTATTTTGAAAAAATAGGAACTTATGACGCCGCTATGGACATATGGGGAGGAGAAAATCTAGAGTTATCTTTCAGGGTAATTAACTCATAACACCAGTGAATCAAAACTATATATATATTATATAGGTATGGATGTGTGGTGGTACGTTAGAAATTATACCTTGCTCTCATATCGGACACATATTCCGCAAAAGAAGCCCTTACAAATGGAAAGCGGGAGAAAATGTACTAAAAAAAAATTCCGTTAGATTGGCAATGGTTTGGTTGGATGAATATGCCGATTACTATTTTCAAAGGATCAATCATGATTATGTAAATATTAACCTAGCATATACATTTTTATATATTTTTTTTAAATTAAAATTTATACAACAAACATTTCTTTCATATTAATATTAGGTTAACGAAATTGCAATAATTTTGGTTTTAAAAATGGGTGATTACCAAAAAAACGAGATTTTCGGCCGACCATCTCAAAAATGAATGAAACTTTGCATGTTAGTTATTTATGTTGTAAATGTTAAGAAAATCAAAATTTTAGAGTGCTAGCTCAACCAGATCCAAAGATATACGCCTTCAAAGTCGAAAAAGTGCGTTATTTTGCGTGATTTCTTTAAATCGTGTTTTTTTAAAAAAATACTTAAGATAGAGTTACATATTATATATCATTTTATAGCCCTTAAAGTTTTACGTTGGAAAATATAAAAATAAAATTAAAAAATTTCAAGTGTTTTCTTATTTCCGGTAAAAATAAAAAATTAACATTGTTAGGAAGGGATTTTTTGGGTGTTAATATTCACTAAAAATGTTTATTACCTTTATATTAAATGATTTAATAAAAAATCTCGATAGCCATTTTTATTTTTTTAATTTTATTTGAATTTTTATTATTTTTATAAATAAAAAATGTAATATAGATGGAGTTATATTGAAATATTTTTATAATATATAATTTTTAATAAAAATATGAATAGTATTGTGATTAAAATTAAAAAATCAATTGAGTATAACCTAGAATGATGTCCTTGGGCGATATGTAAGCAGGCAGCCCATACAGATATTATTTTATTTGGACGCTATATTGTAAAATAAACATATTTTAAATATACACAAACAATATAAAAATAAATACCTCTTGTTTTTATCTTATCCCATTTTGTGCTTATTAATAGAATTTCTTGAGACGATAATTTGTAGGTACGTCCTGTCACTGTAATAGGATCTACTACTGTTATTATTTAATTAATAAGTAACCATATCTTTGTAAAAGAAGGATGGTGATGGTCCATGGGGATGTAAAAAGGAAATATATATCTCCTCAGTAATTTCATTCTTTTTTAGTACTGTGGCTAACCACCAAAAATCGTCATAAACACATGTTACAAATCCTTTAATATCGGAAGACAAATTATCGGCATTTGAGATATTGTTAATTTGGAAGTCCTCTGCATATGAATATATTTTTGATTTAAGTTTACTTAAACTCAAAGGAAATACAGCATGTATTTCCCGAGTTCCTGAAATGGGACGAGCTATTGAATCTTTCCCAGAATTGACGCGCTGAAGGCTTGAACGTGCTGCTAATCTTTTTAATGTTCCGCCAAGGCCGTCACATGGACCTTTTCCATGGGATGTAGCTGAAAAATGCCATTCAGCTGCTACACCAAAATCTGATTTATGATAACATAGATTTATAAAAATTTGTTTTTATATTGCACAGCTGATGAATCAGAGCAGTAATATATGCTGAATTGATTAGTCAAAAATTTTATCATTTTTGTCTGGTATAAATTTACTGCAATAACATTATTGAACAGTGTCTTAGATTATAGATGCATAATTTTCAGAGAAATCAAAAATTATCATAAATTCATTTGGTTGTAAAAAATGTTTAAGTTTTGAAATATATGATGATTGATTGGTAGCGATGATAGGAATAAAAAAATAAAATAATCTGATAAATTTTCAAATAATAACGATAGTAGATCCACAACAATGAAAGGATATATCTACAGATTATTACCTTAGGAATTTCTATAATAAGCGCGAAATTATAATAGTTTAAATATAAAATTTTAAAATATAGCGTCAATAAAATAACATCTGTATGGGCTGCCTGCCTACATATCGCCCCAGGACATCATTTTTGGTTATGCTCAATTGATTTTTTAAATTTTATTTAAAATTATATATTTTAATATAACGCCATCTATATTGCATTTTTTTATTTATAAAAATAATAAAAAATTAAAAAAACAAAAATGGATATCGAGGTTTTTTATTAAATCGTTTAATATAAAGGTATTAAACATTTTTAGTGAATATTAACACCCAAAAAAAATCCCTTCCTAACAATGTTAATTTTTTATTTTTACCGGAAATAAGAAAACACGTAAAATTTTAAGGGCTATAAAATGATATATAATATGTAACTCTATCTTAAGTATTTTTTAAAAAACACGATTTAAAGAAATAACGCACTTCGCGATTTTCGACTTTGAAGGCGTATATCTTTGGATCTGGTTGAGCTAGCACTCTAAAATTTTGATTTTCTTAACATTTACAACATAAATAACTAACATGCAAAGTTTCATTCATTTTTGAGATGGTCGGCCGAATCATTGGTCGATTTGTCATGGAACCCAAATACTCTTGATGATGTTATACTGGAATATCTTATATATTTCCATCAACATATCTTTCTGTATTCAAAATGATTTTTAAAAAAAATTTGTAAAAAATGCTTATAATTTGAAGAAAATTAACAATTTAAAAGATGGGTAGTTACAAAACAACTCTTAAATAGAATAAAAAGTGTGTTTACTCATAAAACTCTAGGAAGGAGATATATAATATCATAAATATAGGGAAGAACCAATTGGATTTAAATTTAACTATAAAAATTTTCTTTGACTAAATGTTAATACAATTTTTTTTTTTTAAGTTAGATTTTTTTTAAATCTTAGGGGAGTATTTCTCTTTTAGTTTCTTTTAAAATCATATCAGAACTAAAGAAATATTTCCTAATTTAATTATTATTGATTATTCTCTCATCTCACCTTAAGTTTTATCAACATCAACAAATAAATAAATATTTTGATTCTAAATATATCCTTTTCAAATTTAAATTTAATAAAGACAAATTAGGACCTGGATAGATAAAAATATATATATTCTATCAAGTTTTAAGGAAGCACCATTTTTATCCATTTTTTTTATTATGGCGAATGTTTTTTTGAAATATTCGGTAATTAAGAATATCCAAATAAGAAATTTATTATAAAAAAATTATTATTAATATCACCAAAAATATGTGTATTTATTAAGGGCAATTATGGCGATATCTCTTCGAGAATAGCTCTGAGGGAACGATTAAAATGTCACAACTTTAGCTGGTACATTCATAATGTCTACCCCGAACTTTTTGTTCCCGGGGATGCTTACTCTACTGGAGAGGTATATAATTAATTAGATCCTTTATTCGTTTTATTTCTTTATTTTTTTGAATAGTATGTTAAAAATAGCCGTTTTAATTAATTTAACATAATATATTATATTATTGATCCATTAATTTGAATTGCATAAATTACATAACTAGTTTTATTATTTTTTAAAATATTTAAATAAATCGAATACTTAATTCTACTGTCTCCTAGTTTTTTGCTCTAATACCTAATTAAAATTTTGTTTGCTAAATTATGTATAAAAAAGTTCTAGTAACCTATTTCAGAAATTTTAAGGTATATATAAAAATTATAATCTGATGTTGCAAAAATCAATGAAGGAGTTAATTTGGATTTCAACATAACTAACAAATAAAATCAAATGTTTACATTTAAATTTGTTTAAATATATAAATTTATTTAAAGTTTTCTTTGAATAAATAATTTGTGCTTCATCAAAATTTATAAGGAAACATGAAAAAAATTAAATATTTGATGTTTTTTTATCTTTTAGATCAGGAATATGGGAAATAATTCGTTCTATTGTTTGGACTCCGCTGCAAATAAACAAAGTATAAATAAACCTGTTAACATGTATCCCTGCCATAGACAAGGTGGAAACCAGGTTTGTATATCATTGGTTATTTATTTTTTTCATGAAAAATTAAACATCTTTTAAACGAATTCTGTTGGTTGAAATTGCCTTCAAAAGAATTTATCATTGTAATTTATTTGAGAAATTTCAAGGGATGAGATGTTAGAACATTTTATATTAAAGAAGCTATTAAATTACAGAGCATACTTTTTTTATTTCATGAATCTCTATACAATTTTATAAAATAGTAAAATTAACTTTTGTCATTTTCTTGAACATTTTAAACCTTTAATTATTTCAATTGTAATTTAAGACCTTTGAAAAGTTATCGGCCATATAATTATTTTTTTCTTAAACTAATCAAATCACGTATTCTCATTATTTTATCAAATTTGTGAAAAATCTTTTTCAATTTTTTAACCACCTTCACTTTTATCATTTTAAGCCTCTACACCTAATCTTCGTAGTTTCACGTGAAAGGTAACCTAATAACATTATGTATCGGGTGGGTCCCTGATTAAAACGAATTAAAATTATTTTAATATATCAAACTAGTATGAAATTTTTATATCGTTTGCTGATTATAAATTTTTGGAATTTTAGTATTGGATGTTAAGCAAAGATGGCGAAATCAGACGAGATGATATGTGCATTGATTATGCTGGAAGCGCTCCTGTTGTATTTCCTTGTCATAGTCAAAAGGGAAATCAATATTGGGTCTACAATCCTATTGTAAATCATATAATTTAACAGATTTCATTATTTTTATAATTTACAATCTTTTTTTTAAAAATAAAACATTAAAGAGACTAAATTTAATAATTGTCTTCCCAAAATTATATCTAAAAATTTCAATTTGAATTTTTTGTCTAAAATTCCTTCGCTTCGTTGGTAAAATGTCTAATCTTGTTGCCTATATTTTAAAATAACTTGAATGTTATTGGCGAAATCGAGGCTAAAAAGCCTCACAATTTCCCAACCATTCTAGCTCATCCACTTATCCGGATTGTATGGCGACTATCCCTTGGAATCATTAATATGGAACTATATTTGCATGTCTTCATTCCTTTCAAACACCAACATCCATCCGCTAATCCAAGCCGAAACCATAAAGTAAAAAAATTTTAAAATCTTAGCAACTTTCTTTTCATTCCTATAGTTCCATCAATAAACAGCCATTAAATAACATTCAACTTAACATTGACGCAGCAAAAGTAAACATTTTACTGACAAGGCCAACGAATTTCTATACATTAGACAAACATTTAAATCGAAATTTTAGATATAAATATTGTTACTTTTGGGAACACAATTATTAAATTTATAATTAATTATGTATTCATTTTTGTCTTTTTAATGTTTTATCTTATAATTTATATAAATTCAATTTTATATTTTTGATAACTTTGTTATAGAACTGGGAAAAGGAAAAGGTGGAGTTTTATTTTGAATTTTAAAGTTAATCTTTTGTTTAAAAATTATATATTTTAGTTTACAAAATTTATTTTTCTTAATCAATCATTAAAGACCAAGGCAGCCTCCTAAATCAACTCGAATTTTTTCTTTTTTGAATTCAAACTGTTTTAAAAGCGATTTTGAATTTTAAAAATAGAAATGTACATCTTTAGACATATTTTAAAGATATCATTACCTTATATCAAAATCTACAATTTAAAAAAAAAATCCAAAATATTGTGTCTACGCTGCCATTCTAAATAGAATTTAATATAATAAATCGAACTAGGACGAGCATAAGACCTCATTTATAGTAAAAACCAGGCTTGTTAATCGATCCTTTTAAAAAAAAGGAGGATCGATACAAAGTTAACTAATATAAAAAATATAAAACAAGGTGACCCTCTAGGTTCCTTTTTGTTCTGTCTGGGCATTAATAGTCTAATACGAGACATTAATGACCAATGCAAGCTAAATCTTCATAACTGGTATATCGACGATGGTATACTAGGCGGCCCACCGACTGAAGTTATGTGGGCAATCCAAATAATAAAATCCAGCGAGAAAAGTTTGAGACTTAGGTTAATCAAGACAAAAGCGAATATTGTCCTCTTGGGACCATTGACCTTAACCGCGATACTATGTTCAATCATACACCATTGAACGCTTTAACACATCTCGGATCTCCAGTAAGTAAAGACGAGTCCTTTATCAAGTTCTTTGACGATATTTTACGAGAGATATCCTTTATGCGCGATACACTATCTCGCCTCCCAGCTCACCAAGCTTTCTTCTTATTAAAGAACTACCTTCTAATTCCAAAAATTTTATATACACTCCGATCGTCACGGATCTTTCAATATGACGTCAACCTCGCTGCACACGAACTGGAGATTAAACACCTCTCAGAAGATATACTCAATCTTAAATTTGGGAATTATCATGGTTACAGGCTACCTTGCCAACCAAATCCAGCGGCATTGGCATAAGTGCATTCATATCCTCTCGCCTGTCCTGCGAGTCCATCATACAAACACTCACCAAACATCCTGACCCCTTACTCCTACAGGCAATTGATCTATGGAAGTCCCTCTCATTAGTCAATCCTCCATCGTCGGCACTACAGAAGGATTGGGATTAATCTCTAGTTGGCAACTTCGTTGCATTCCTTAAATCGAGGAGCCAATCAGAGGACCATTCTCTACTCTTCTCCATTTCCGCAGGTAGTGGATACGAATTTCATGAGGCTTTCCCATCGCGGAACCTTGACCAGCTCCTAAGCAATGATGTACTACGTCACGCCATAGGTCTTAGACTTAATTGCGATATGGTAATGCCTTATCACTGTATCCTCTGTCAAACGTCGGTCAACTCCAAAGGCCATCTCTCTCTACACTCCAAGCGCTGTAGAGGCAGATTCATTAGGCATTCAAAATGCAATGATACCATTGCCAGGGCCTTAAAATCCGTCGGGAACCTATCAACCCTCGAACCTACCGGCCTTTACAATTCCGATGGTAAGGGCCCGATGGTTCGACTATGATCCCTTGGAAGAAGGGGAATTCCTAACCTGGGATTTCTCATGCATCGATCCTCTTGGCCCTTCCAATATAAATAGAGTTGTCATACTAGATGCCGAAGCGAATAAACTACTAAATATTCGCCATCTCTTCCCGCCAATTATACATTCCTACCATTAATCGCCACTACTCTAACGTCGTTCGGCTCTCATGCCCTGGCCTTCTTTAAAGAGCTGGGAAAACGGATCTCTGCTAGGACCGAGGACCCCAACGAGGGATTCTACCTACGCCAAAGAATATCCATAAACATAGTAAAATACAATTGTCTCAGCTTTATTTTTTCAATATCTGAAACCCCCCAATTGAACACTATGCATAGGATAGACTTTGGCCATTTTGTGCCTATTATAATGTTAACGCCAAAAGGGAACTTGAATCTCAATCAATAAAAAATAGCAAGAATTAATGACTTTATATAATTGTGATTTACTAATATCTATTTACTTTCTAATAACATATTATTATAATATATATATAGATTATATTTACAATGTTCAGATAAAATCTTTAATTAATTTATTGTAATTGAATAATATAATATAAGTATAACAAAATTGTATTTTTAAAAGAATTAATTACTTCTAAATGCCTCTTTAGGTTTGAACTGCAAATCTTTGAAGAAGATATTTTATTTTTGCATAAAGAACAATTTGCATAGATCATTGTATGGTTACTTCCATCCGTTTTACATAAAGTAAAATACTTACGTAAATTATGAAATGGTAAAAGATTCTCATTGTCACTTATATCTGCTGTGACATCAATAGAAGTAGATATATCATCTTCTAAATCTTTAATGGAGGACATTATTAAAACCTAGAATTTATATTATAATATAATTAATAAATATAACTTGTTCTTACAAAAAATTTGGAAAATTGTTGAAATATAAAATCTGGTGGAATGGTGGTTGATAGAATATGATGTAGAGAGCGATATATTTTTTTAAATAATATTTAAATTTAATTTTCAAAATTTTTATTTTATTTATTGCTTTTTAAGTAAAAAAATAATTTTTAAAAGGATCGGGATCGAATATTTAAAAAAATGATCTCGAACACTTTCCACATTTTAAGGTCAGGATCTTAAATCCGAGAAAATTGACAAATTTAGGATCGAATCCAGGATGGGCGATCTTTTGATTCAATCCTTTAACAACTCTGGTAAAAATCATGATTGAGCGATGCATAAGTATCCACTTTGTTTCTAAAATATACAATAAATTCGATTTGGTAGTTTATTAACTAGATACAGATTTGTTATCAAAAATGAAGATCGCGATTCGATCCTTTTACTATGAAGGATACTTTCCTTTAAAAAAAATATTTAATACTTTTACATGATAAATAAATAAAATATAATTTTTTTAAATAAACTTTTAAAATCAAATTGAAATATATATTTTTTTGCTTTATACATCAAGAAAATTAAAATTAGTTTAAATTACACTAAAATTTTCTTCAGTATTTTAACAAATAAGCAATCCGGATTGTAAAAAATTTTATTGTTGGGTAATCACATCTATAAAAACTGTTATTTTCAGCTGACCCCTTTTAATTGAGATATAATTCGTTTGAATAATATTTGGGTATAGTTTGAACATGAACGAAATTTGAAACCAGGACTTAGTAATCAGTGAAAATATAAATTTTTAAAGAATTTGTCGTCATTTTCCTTTTTAAAATTGGATATAAAATTACCAGTGAAAACTTTGGGATTATTAATTTTTTATTTAATTATCAATCTCAGTATCAAATTTATTTGTTCATATTGATTTAGCTTTTAATTAATAAAAAAAAAGAGATTAAAATTACTTCGTTTTGCACCTATAATTACAAATATATCAGATAATATAAAAACTAAAGAGTTTAATTTTTGTTTTCGTTCTAACTATATAATATATATAATTTTCATATAAATTTTTATTGAAATTGAAAAAGTGGGCGAGGTGCGTGATTTATGTGATCCATAAAAAAATTGAAATCGTAATCGCGATCTTTTTTTAAAAACTGAATCAATCCTTTTTAAAGGGATCTATTAACAAGCATGTCGGATAAAAACTTTTTATTTTTAAATATTAAAATAAGCCTTTGAAATGTTAGTTTTATAGTGTAAATTTTTAAAACTTCAAAAAAATTTTTTTTGAAATTCAAATTTTTTTTGTTTTTAGTATGTAACTTTAACTATCAATAAATTTCAATTTGTGGAAAAAAAATAAATAGAAAAAGTCAATCGAACATTTTTATAGCAAATTATGCTTAGAGATGAATATAGACGGTCAAACGTTGGTAATGAAAGAATGCAATAAATTGTCTCATCAACAATGGGATTTAGAAAAATATAAATATGGTGTCAAAATATCAAACGAAGTTTAAACTAATAAATATAAATTAACTTTATTTAGTTAATCTAATTAATAAATATTCGGTCTCCCAATGCACTTATTTTAATTAAAATGCGATTTTTTGTATGAATTTGTCTTATTGTAATAATTTTGTTATGCTTGAAATAAACTTGCATAGAATTTTATATCGCCAAATACTTTTTTTATATATATAATTCAAAAAAGTTACTTCCCTGTTACATTGTGATTTTTTTATGAGGATATTGAATTACTTTTAATATTTTTTTTTGATTATAAAATTTTTTTTAGGGTGATTGTACAGTGCTATACCCTTTAACTATTTATTTATATTGCAATAAAATATTTTTACATTGCCTAAAACAAAATATATTTACACGGATAGCGAATATAAGCGAAGCGAATATAAGCGGATAGCGAATATAAGCGAAGCGAATATAAGCGGATAGCGAATATAAGCGAAGCGAATATAAGCGGATAGCGAATATAAGCGAAGCGAATATAAGCGGATAGCGAATATAAGCGAAGCGAATATAAGCGAAGCGAATATAAGCGAAGCGAATATAAGCGAAGCGAATATAAGCGAAGCGAATATAAGCGAAGCGAATATAAGCGAAGCGAATATAAGCGAAGCGAATATAAGCGAAGCGAATATAAGCGAAGCGAATATAAGCGAAGCGAATATAAGCGGATAGCGAATATAAGCGGATAGCGAATATAAGCGGATAGCGAATATAAGCGGATAGCGAATATAAGCGAAGCGAATATAAGCGGATAGCGAATATAAGCGAAGCGAATATAAGCGGATAGCGAATATAAGCGAAGCGAATATAAGCGGATAGCGAATATAAGCGAAGCGAATATAAGCGGATAGCGAATATAAGCGAAGCGAATATAAGCGGATAGCGAATATAAGCGAAGCGAATATAAGCGGATAGCGAATATAAGCGAAGCGAATATAAGCGGATAGCGAATATAAGCGAAGCGAATATAAGCGGATAGCGAATATAAGCGAAGCGAATATAAGCGGATAGCGAATATAAGCGAAGCGAATATAAGCGAAGCGAATATAAGCGAAGCGAATATAAGCGAAGCGAATATAAGCGAAGCGAATATAAGCGGATAGCGAATATAAGCGAAGCGAATATAAGCGGATAGCGAATATAAGCGGATAGCGAATATAAGCGAAGCGAATATAAGCGGATAGCGAATATAAGCGGATAGCGAATATAAGCGAAGCGAATATAAGCGGATAGCGAATATAAGCGAAGCGAATATAAGCGGATAGCGAATATAAGCGTAGCGAATATAAGCGAAGCGAATATAAGCGGATAGCGAATATAAGCGAAGCGAATATAAGCGGATAGCGAATATAAGCGAAGCGAATATAAGCGGATAGCGAATATAAGCGAAGCGAATATAAGCGGATAGCGAATATAAGCGAAGCGAATATAAGCGAAGCGAATATAAGCGAAGCGAATATAAGCGAAGCGAATATAAGCGAAGCGAATATAAGCGAAGCGAATATAAGCGGATAGCGAATATAAGCGAAGCGAATATAAGCGGATAGCGAATATAAGCGAAGCGAATATAAGCGGATAGCGAATATAAGCGAAGCGAATATAAGCGGATAGCGAATATAAGCGAAGCGAATATAAGCGGATAGCGAATATAAGCGAAGCGAATATAAGCGGATAGCGAATATAAGCGAAGCGAATATAAGCGGATAGCGAATATAAGCGAAGCGAATATAAGCGGATAGCGAATATAAGCGAAGCGAATATAAGCGGATAGCGAATATAAGCGAAGCGAATATAAGCGGATAGCGAATATAAGCGAAGCGAATATAAGCGGATAGCGAAATATAAGCGATAGCGAATATAAGCGAATAGCGAAAATAAGTGAAGCGGATATAAGCGAAGCGAATATAAGCGGATAGCGAATATTAAGCGGATAGCGAATATAAGCGGATAGCGAATATAAGCGGATAGCGAATATAAGCGAAGCGAATATAAGCGGATAGCGAATATAAGCGAAGCGAATATAAGCGGATAGCGAATATAAGCGAAGCGAATATAAGCGGATAGCGAATATAAGCGAAGCGAATATAAGCGGATAGCGAATATAAGCGAAGCGAATATAAGCGGATAGCGAATATAAGCGATAGCGAATATAAGCGGATAGCGAATATAAGCGAAGCGAATATAAGCGGATAGCGAATATAAGCGGATAGCGAATATAAGCGGATAGCGAATATAAGCGAAGCGAATATAAGCGGATAGCGAATATAAGCGAAGCGAATATAAGCGGATAGCGAATATAAGCGAAGCGAATATAAGCGGATAGCGAATATAAGCGAAGCGAATATAAGCGGATAGCGAATATAAGCGAAGCGAATATAAGCGGATAGCGAATATAAGCGAAGCGAATATAAGCGGATAGCGAATATAAGCGAAGCGAATATAAGCGGATAGCGAATATAAGCGAAGCGAATATAAGCGGATAGCGAATATAAGCGGATAGCGAATATAAGCGGATAGCGAATATAAGCGAAGCGAATATAAGCGGATAGCGAATATAAGCGAAGCGAATATAAGCGGATAGCGAATATAAGCGAAGCGAATATAAGCGGATAGCGAATATAAGCGAAGCGAATATAAGCGGATAGCGAATATAAGCGAAGCGAATATAAGCGAAGCGAATATAAGCGGATAGCGAATATAAGCGAAGCGAATATAAGCGGATAGCGAATATAAGCGAAGCGAATATAAGCGGATAGCGAATATAAGCGGCATAGCGAATATAAGCGAAGCGAATATAAGCGGATAGCGAATATAAGCGAAGCGAATATAAGCGGATAGCGAATATAAGCGAAGCGAATATAAGCGGATAGCGAATATAAGCGAAGCGAATATAAGCGGATAGCGAATATAAGCGAAGCGAATATAAGCGGATAGCGAATATAAGCGAAGCGAATATAAGCGAAGCGAATATAAGCGATAGCGAATATAAGCGAAGCGAATATAAGCGGATAGCGAATATAAGCGAAGCGAATATAAGCGGATAGCGAATATAAGCGAAGCGAATATAAGCGGATAGCGAATATAAGCGAAGCGAATATAAGCGGATAGCGAATATAAGCGAAGCGAATATAAGCGGATAGCGAATATAAGCGAAGCGAATATAAGCGGATAGCGAATATAAGCGAAGCGAATATAAGCGGATAGCGAATATAAAGCGGATAGCGAATATAAGCGGATAGCGAATATAAGCGGATAGCGAATATAAGCGGATAGCGAATATAAGCGGATAGCGAATATAAGCGGATAGCGAATATAAGCGGATAGCGAATATAAGCGGATAGCGAATATAAGCGGATAGCGAATATAAGCGGATAGCGAATATAAGCGGATAGCGAATATAAGCGGATAGCGAATATAAGCGAAGCGAATATAAGCGGATAGCGAATATAAGCGAAGCGAATATAAGCGGATAGCGAATATAAGCGGATAGCGAATATAAGCGGATAGCGAATATAAGCGGATAGCGAATATAAGCGGATAGCGAATATAAGCGAAGCGAATAGCGAATATAAGCGGATAGCGAATATAAGCGGATAGCGAATATAAGCGGATAGCGAATTTAAGCGGATAGCGAATTTAAGCGGATAGCGAATTTAAGCGGATAGCGAATATAAGCGGATAGCCAATATAAGCGGATAGCCAATATAAGCGGATAGCGAATATAAGCGGATAGCGAATATAAGCGGATAGCGAATATAAGCGGATAGCGAATATAAGCGGATAGCGAATATAAGCGGATAGCGAATATAAGCGGATAGCGAATATAAGCGGATAGCGAATATAAGCGGATAGCGAATATAAGCGGATAGCGAATATAAGCGGATAGCGAATATAAGCGGATAGCGAATATAAGCGGATAGCGAATATAAGCGGATAGCGAATATAAGCGGATAGCGAATATAAGCGGATAGCGAATATAAGCGGATAGCGAATATAAGCGGATAGCGAATATAAGCGGATAGCGAATATAAGCGGATAGCGAATATAAGCGGATAGCGAATATAAGCGGATAGCGAATATAAGCGGATAGCGAATATAAGCGGATAGCGAATATAGGCAAAGCGAATATTAACAGATAGCGAATATAAGCGAAGCGAATAAGCGAAACAAATATAAGCGGATAACGAATATAAGCGAAGCGAATATAAACGGATTGCGAATATATGCGAAATGAATATAAGCGGATAGCGAATATAAATGGATAGCGAATATAATCGGATAATGAATGTACGGATAGCGAATATATGCAAGGCGAAAAGAAGCGGAACGAATGTCAGCTTGGGAAACCGAGCAAATATATGCGGAACGAATATAATCCAAACGAATATAAGCGGAGCGAATATAACCGGAGTGAATATAAACGGAGCGAAAGAAATTGATATAAGAGTAGTGGACGGGGCGAATTTAATCGGTGCTAATATAAGACCTTTTTGAGATTTATTAAATATGGTAATAAACTTATATAAAATTATAAAGTTAAAAATTTTTACCAGAATCTAAACGAATATAAGCGAGGAGTATGTAAGAGGTAATAACGTAGCGAATATCAGCTGAAGGAATGTAGCAAATATAAACGGAACAAATATAAGCCGAGCAAATATAAGCTTAGCTTATATAAACGAAACGAATTTAAGAGCGAATATAAGAGGAGCAAATAAAAGCGGAGCGAATATAAGCCAAACGAATATTATCGTAGCAAATATAAGGAGAACAAAAGAAGTTAATATAAGCGGAGCAGACGGAGTGAATATAAGGCGTGCGAATATAGTACCTTTTTTATTATTTACAAAATAGGGTAATAAACAAATATAAAATCATAAATAGAGATATAAATTTTTGCCAGTCAGCTCAACGTATTCTTCAGGTCTTTGCAATCAATGAATTTTCTATATCCCATTTCCAATTGCTTGACTACTGATTTCATTTTCATAAATATTATTTATAATAGAAATTGAGTAACAACTTGTATATCTTTCATTTTAAATTTTTACAATACTACCATATATTTCATTAAAATGCTACAATTTCATACATCTACTATGATCAGAAATAAGTTTAATGGTAGATTAGCGATAAATTATAGTTTGATAAAATATTTGCCAGCATATTATTATTACGAAATTTTAGATTTAATAAATATATTATGGTGAATGATTGTTTGTTCTCATTTAATAGTAATATGATAAGTTATAATTTTAACAATCATAAATTATACTACATTATTTAATAAAAATCGACATAATTAACAATAAGTCTATTTAATATTCATTATAGAATTAAACAAAATTAAATCTTATACTACCTGATGATATAATTTCAAAATACAAAATATGCATCTATTCTATAAAATATCATTAAGGTTAATAAAAATGCAAAAATGTAGTTAGTAAAATTAGTGATCTGCATCGGGCCTAATTTTTCAAGCCCGGCCCGTAATTTTTTTTAAAAAAGTTTTGCCGGCCCGGTCCGAACCCGAAATTTTTTAAAAAAGTTTTGCCGGCCCGGCCCGAATCCGAAATTTTTTAAATAAAATTTACCGACCCTGCCGGCCCGGCCCGAATTTATTTAAATGTAGAAATTAATTTTTATAATTACTCAAAATAAAAGACATATGTTATATGTCGTTTAGTTTCAATAAATAAAATCAAATATTTTTATATTACATAAAAAATTCAATATAAAATTGATAAATTTAGATCCGGCCTGGCCCGAAGCCGATTATTTTAAATAAAATTAGGCCCGAGCTCGACTCGGGCCGGGTACGAGCAGAGCCTAACTTTGCAAATCTCTAAGTAAAATAACATTTTTAAAGTTGTTCAAATATAAGCGTAGCGAATATAAGCCGAACGAATATAAGTGGAGCAAATATAAACTAAACGAATATAAGCGGAGCGAATATAAACGAAATGAATAAAAGCGGAGCGAATAAAAGCGGAGCGAATATATGCGGAGCGAATATATGCGGAGCGAATAAAAGCAGAGCCAATTAAAGCGGAACGAATAAAGCCGAACGAATTAAAGCGTAGCGAATAAAGGCGGAGCAAATTAAAACGGAAATTAAAACGGAGCGAATTTAAACGAAGCGATTATAATTGGAGCGAATATATGCGGTTCAAATATAAGCGATGCGAATAAAGTACCTATTTTGATAATTATACAATAAGGTAATAAACATATATATAATTATAAATATAGATTTAAATTTTTACCCCTCAGCTCACCGATCCTTCAGGTCTTTGCAATCAATGAATTTTTTATATCCCATTTCCAATTGCTTGACTATTGATTTCATTTTCATTAATATTATATTATAAATTGAGTAACAGCTTGTCCAATTTCATATATTCTACTATCATCAGTAATAAGTTTGATGGTAGATTTAGCGATAAATTAAATTTTGATAAAATATTTGTCAGCATATTATTATTACAATATTTTATATTTAATAATTTACTGATTATTATGACTATAGGATTATAAAATTAGATTTAAAATCTATCATCTAAATGGATTAAGGATTTACTCCGATTCTAAATATTTTTTATCATATAAATTTATCATACTTTTTTGTTTATTTAAATATAGAAATAAAAGGAATAATTAACAAAATTTACCTGGACAAAAAGACATAAAACAAAAATACCACCATTTTTTTAAAAAAATACGTTTAATATGCATTCTTTAACCGCAATGATTCATAACTTTAAAATATATTATAAATATTTTACTACTAAATTATTAAATTTTTATATATTTTTTCTTTCTATTTTTAATATATTTAATTTATCAATAAAATTAAGATAATTTTTCATTATTTAAAATATTATGCATAAAAGTCAACAGACTAGAGATCTGCTAGTCAACTCAAGCGGGCCAACTAGACAAATAAGTTTAATTTCGGGTCTGGTTTTTTGGGACAAATAGATTTCATTCGTGATCGGCCCTGGCTGGACATATTTTTTGAGAATTTCGGGTGAGGCTTGGAAAATTATTTTTAATGTAGATCACTATAATATACTACCTATACAATTTAATTATCGTATATAATATAAAATTAAGAATATTATAAATTTATTATTATATATATAATATACAGTAGGGCTTTAGGGAATGTAATCCGGTATTGGATTCGGTATGGAAAAATCTTTAAAATTTAAATCATTTATAGAGCTAAATTTTTTTAATTTTTAAAAACTAGATTTTGCTATTGTACTCCAAATTTTCAAATAAGGGAAAAAAAAATTTGAAATTATGGAAGTGGAGCAGATAAGGTTATTTTAATATCTTTTATATTTATCGTTTTTAAAATCATTATCACTATTCTTTATCAAGCTTCCAAATTAACACTTTTATTTTACATTTTATTTCAAATAATATTTTGTCAAATGGTAAGTAAGGTACTAATTGGAAAAATAATATTTAAATAAACTAGTATTTTTTACAAAATGTTATTTCTCACATATTGACTACCTTAAAATATATATTTAATATAAAATATGATCTTTTTTAAAATTATCAATCAAAAAAGAATTATATAATATTGATAAAATTTGCTTGATTCAAAATTAAGCAATCAGTTTTTCTCTTTATTCCACCAAAATAAAATATTGTGCTCGTGTCAAAAATATTTATTATTATAACTTAAAAACTGACTTCCTAAAGAAAGAAAGAAGGTCCTGAAATTTCCTCCTTTGAGGTTAGATCTTTTGCTTAAACAAACTAGACATGTTTATTGATAATTCTTCTTTAAATTTATTTATTAAATAATAAAATTAAACAAATAATATTTCTAAAAATTGTTATTTCATTTAGTAATGTTAAAATGTGAAAAATATGGGAGAAATTTTAAAATTGAGAGAGATTTACGCGGTAGATTAAAAATTGCCCGAGATTTGCGAACTAGAATTCTATGCGAGTTGAGGGATAAATTTAGGGAGTCTCCCGGACACCTGGCAACCGTATGTTAAGTATTTACCTTATCAATTTCGGGATATTTACCATAAAAAATTCACTTTTAATTTTACCTCGATTATTTTTTAAAGTAAATAAGAAATTGTGTATAACAAAAAAGAAATCTTTCAAAATTAAAAAAAAAGCATTCCATAAATGATTTAATAAAGATTGCGAAATGCTAGATTTCTAGCTGGATCATAATCTCCATTCCCTGTTTGAGTCAATAAAATTTTTAAAAAGTCCCTAGATCTTGATAAAAACTCTAATTTTATTTTCTACGATTTCTCAAAAAAGGTATATTTTTGACCATATATTCTCCTGAAACCAAGTTTAATAAAATTCCATCCCAATTCCATTTTTCATTATATACCAGAACCAAACTTAGTATAAAGTCTTCGTGGGTTCAAAACCCTCGAATTGATATCCGTATTTAAGAAAGACACGAATAATTTTTTTTATTTACAAATGATATATATTTTTAGGTTAATTTTACTTTGTAAATATTAATTTTTTTTTTCATTTGATAAATAGATTTATTTATTTCCAAATTATTTTACACGTTTTATATTGTCTAAAATATCAGAAAAATTATTCGTTTATTCTTATTTCTTTTATGATAATTGATTTCTATATCGTATTCACTTAAAAGGATATAAAGTATTATATTAAATTATATAGAATATTGTATTTGTATATATAATATCGTAATAGTGTACTGAATTCATGGGAATTTGGAATCTTTAAATTTTAAATCATTTATTGAGGGCTAAATTCGAAAAATCGGATCTGATCAGAAAGAGACAATTTACTACCTATACTCTAAATTTTAGACAATTTTGACGCTTTGAAATACTATTCATTTACCCTTAATATTTTTTTAGTATTTCATCTAAATTTATAAAAAAATAATACACAAAAGATTAATAAAGAGAATTATCCGAAATTTATATTTCGATCATTTGATTTATTTTTAAAAATATACACGTATTGAAATTTATTAAAAAGTCATTATTTACCTTTGTATTGATTCGATGTAAAGAGATTTATTCTTATTTGTCCAATTGAGGATGCACTTAAAAAGTAATTCTTTTTGCCATAATACCACACACATCATTTATATTCATTAAAGAATTTTCAATAAAGTTGAATATTGAAGTTAAGTGAACCAGTTTTTTAGGACCACCAATCGATCCCTAAATAATTACACTTAGTCTTTAATAAAAACTTGCTTGAAATTTTATAGTAAAAAATCTTTTGATTCATAAATGATAATATTTATAATTTTTTTTTAGATAGAACGTTTTTTCAAAAGGGTTTCCTAAGCCTACCAATTTTTTTTATTTCTAACTAATTGATAATAAACGGTTTCTCATCTAAAAAAGGAAAAATCCCAATCAAAAAAGAAAAAGTGTCAATCATAAAAGGAAGGCCCGATTAAAGTGTCAATCAAAAAAGAAATTCCCAAAGGCTTAAGAAAAAGTCCAAATAAAAAAATGTCAAACAAAAAAGGAAATTAAAGTAAAGTGTCAATCAAAAAAAAGAAAAGCCCCAAAGGCTTAGGAAAAAGTTCAATCA